GTTAGGGTGGGTTGGCCATGGGAAATTACCCATAGTGCCCAGGGATGTGCAGGTTACGGTGAGTTGGCCATGCTAAATTGCCCCATTGTGTCCATGGATGAGCAGGCTAAGTGGGTTAGCTATGGGAAATGCAGGGATAGGGTGGGTCCAAGTGGGATGCTCTTCAGAGAGTCTGTGTGGACTTGTTGGGCCGAATGGCCTGTTTCCACACTGTAGGGATAGACTTCTATGAATGAAACTGTGGACAGGGTCTGCTTTATAATGGGCTCAGGTGGTGAGTTCGAGCTGGACAGGCCATTGCCTGTGACCAAAGGAACCCATAATGAGTTCACACACAGAGATGAATTAGTGAATCTCCATGGGACTTGTAGGGTTTAAGACAATCCAGTTAGGAGGAGCAGTGTAAAAGCAAGTGCGTAATATAGATGGGCCAAGTGGCCTGTTCCTGTGCAGTAAACTCCTTGTGCCACATAGAGGTTTGGGATGTCCTGTGAAATTTTGGATGGGCTGTTGGTTGGATTATGGAGGCTGTGGAGCAGATGATGGAGATTTTTTTTCCACCCACCCCTGCTTTCCTCTTACCGTGAGGTGCTGGAACAGCCAGGCTCGCATGATGTTGGTGGCCACTTTGGGAAAAATGCCCCTTTTCTTCTGACGTCGCTTGTCCTTGTCTAAGTCATCATCGTCACCGGTGCCAGGCGATGCCATGCTGTTGTCCAATGCATCACCTGAGGAGGGAGAGGTCATGGAATCAGTCACAAAAAATGCGCCAAGTGTCCAATCAGATCCGACTGCGTACCCTCAAGTCCACTCGCCCTCAACTCCCTCATCGATCAAAAATGAATCCTGAATACAGGAGGACTCTGATTTACAAATGGCCACCCTACAAAGGCTCATATTTACCAACAAGATCCTATACAAGATCCACTGTATAAACACTTCCTGAACTGCTTGTACACCCAGCCTCCAACAACCCCTACAGCGGGGAATTCCAGCAGGTCATGGCCCCCTGAAGAGGTAGAAAATACTCCTCCACATTCACAGAATGGTTGGGGTGCAGAATAAGACCATTCAGCCCATCGTATCTGCATTGTTTCTCTGAGCATTCTGACTTGAACCCAATCTACCGTGTGTTCCTCCTTTCCTTACCCATTGTTTCTGTTTAAATAACCATCCAATTCCCCTCCTGAATGTTTTCAGCAAACCTGCGTCCACCAAATTTCCAGGCAGTACATTCCAGACCCTAACCACTCACTTTGTGTAACACCTTCAAAACCAAGCTCACTGGTTCTCAATCCTTTTATAGGCAGGAGATTTCTCCATATCTACCTAGTCCTGACCCCTCGCGATTTTGAAGTCGTCGATTGACTCTCATCTCAGCCTTTTCCGAAGGCAAACAGTCCCAATGTCTCTGATTCCTCCTGAAGCGACTCATTGCTGATTATTTCGATTGAGATTCTACCAGAAGGCAGGGCAAGATCTGAACCTGTGTCCTCAAGGCATTATCTAGACCTACTGGATTAAGACTACAGTGACCATCACTCCACCCAACACCTTACTTTTTGTTTTATTCACTCATTGGATGTGGGCATCGCTGGAATTTATTGCCCATCCCTAATTGCCCAGGGGGCAGTTAAGAGTCAACCACATCATTGTGGGTCTGGAGTCACACGTAGGCCAGACCAAGTAAGGATGGCAGTTTCCTTCCCTAAAGGACATTAGTGAACCAGATGGGCTTTTCCCAACAATGGACAATGGATTCATGGTCATCATTAGACCCTTAATTCCAGATTCTTTATTGAATTCAAATTACACCATCTGCTGTGGTGGGATTTGAACCTGGGTACCCCAGAACATTAGTTGAGTTTCCTTGGTTAATCATCCGGCAATAATACCGCTGGGCCATCACCTTCCCAGAACGTTCCATGTTTCAAAGCCGTCTCCATGAGGAGAAACATCCTCTGATCATCGACCCTGTCAGATCCCCTCAGAATCTAACTTGTGTTAAGGGCCAGACCAAATCTCCACAATATATATTGAGGATATAGTCTAAACCCTGACGTTTTCTTATTTTAAAGCTAAGTGCCAGGCACTGTGATCCGGATGCAATTCGATTGGTCAATCTACCAAATTTGAAATGAAACACACTTTATGTAGCCACTATAATGAAAATACAGACAAAATAAAAATAGAAGAATTGGCTTAACTCTAACTCTACGGAAATGCTTAACCAAATAATATATAAATTAACTACTACTAATTACCTGTTCCAATATAGTAACATCCCATAAACACACCCCTGGCAAAGGCAAATTCAGCAAAATAGATTGTCTCACATACAATTCTAGCAGCAGGAGGGGAGCCCCAGCTTTTAGCTGTAATAGAGAGAGGAACAAGAGATTCCACATCTTGCTTCAAGACTCCAGAAACTGCTGGAAGCTAAAACTAAAAATCGTGATTCTGTGGGAGCTTGACCAGCACCCATTCATACTGCTTCTATTGTTCCAAATTTAAAATAAAACAAAGGCCTCACAATCTGTTTACTTCATTGGCTTTCAGCAGACTTCTCAACACCTCAATCTTTCTTCACAAAAAATAAATGAGGATCAAATACATCTCTTACAGTCACAGCATCATCATGCTCGTTTTAATAAGATCGCTGCTCATTCTTCCAAACTCCAGTGGATCCTTCCTTCATAAGCCCATTAACCCAGGACCCACTTCTCTGAATGATTCTAGTGCATGTTCTCAAGCAAAGAGACCAAAACCAAACACAGAACTCCAAATGCAGACACACTAACATCTGAAAACATTCATGATTCAAAAGAAAACATGTAACAGGTGGAATTTTAAGAAAATCTTTCGTGGGATGTGGGCATCACTGGCTGAACCAGCATTTATACTCCATCCCTAAATACTCTTTAAAAGGTGGTGGTGAGCTGCTGCAGTCCTTGTAGGGTCGGTACATTCATAGTTTACTCAGGATTTTCCCAGATTAGTCAAATCCTTGTAACTTAACACCAAACACAAAGCCTGTCCACCATCTACAAGGCACAAGTCAGGAGTGTGATGGAATACTCCCCACTTGCCCTGGATGAGTGCAGCCCCAACAACACTCAAGAAGTTCGACACCATCCAGGACAAAGCAGCCCCCGCTTGGTTGGCACCACATCCACAAGAATTCACTCCTTCCACCACCGACGCTCAGTAACAGCAGTGTGTACCATCTACAAGACGCCCTGCAGAAATTCACCAAAGATCCTCAGACAGCACCTTCCAAACCTACGACCACTTCCATCTAGAAGGACAAGGGCAGCAGATACATGGGAACACCACCCCCTGCAAGTTCCCCTCCGAGCCACTCACCATCCTGACTTGGAAATATATCGCCGTTCCTTCAGTGTTGCTGGGTCAAAATCTTGGAATTCTCTCCCTAAGGGCATTGTCGGTCAACCTATAGCACATGGACTGCAGCGGTTCAAGAAGGCAGCTCACCCCCACCTTCTCAAGGGGGCAACTAGGGACGGGCAGTAAATGCTGACCCAGCCAGTGACACCCACGTCCCATCACGTCACATTAATCACCCTCCAAGTTATCAATAGTGGTTTAGTCATGGACTATGAGTCTCTACACCAGAAGGTTGTATGGTACAATCCCACAGCTATAGCAACTTAAGCAACAACTGTAGCTGATGCGCAAGTGGAACGTGGTATCGCAGTAACAATGCTGAACGCATGGTCTGATGTCTCAGGTGGGTGCTTTGTTGCTATTTCAAGGAAGTGTCGGTGACTTCTCCCTGCAGGCCTGGCCTAATCTTTAGCTCAGAGCCAACACCAATGCACACAGATTGCATCATCACACCCTCGACATTTTGACAGTTTGTTGACAAAGTATAAGGGTGCAGGATGGTAAGTGCAGCTGTAGTGGGGCAAAGTACATCCACATTTTGTCTACAGCATCAGGGCTGTCATACAGATGTTCTCACTGTCACACACACCTCTAAACATACACCCACCAATACAGGCAATACACATGGATACCCAAGACACTATAGAAACAGGCATACATACACACACACACACACACATACAGACACACACACACACAAATACAGACATACACACACCCATGGATACACACACATGCATATGATACAGACACACACATGTATACAGACACGCATACATATAGATACAGACACTTGTATACAAACACATGTACATATTGATATAGGCACATACACATGCATACAGGCACACACAGATACAGAGACAGACACACATGGATAGAGATACACACACACACACATACAGTTACACACATACGTGTGGATATAGACACGCATAAACATACATACACACACACAGATACACATGGACACGTGCAAAGACACATACATGCACATACACAGATATACACAGACACACACACACAAACACAGACCCAGACACATGCACGTGCACACACACACATGCATGCACACAAACGCATACAGACGCACACACACACTCACACACTCACAGATCCAGATACATAAGCACATGTACACATACAATATTTTACTTCTAAACAGTGCTGGCCACACAATCTATCTGTACTTCATGATATTCACTTTCCAGCCAATCACAGCCAGCCTCCCCATTTCCTTTTCTGATTCACGGGTCAGGAATTAATGTATTTATACCATTTTCACCATAATAAAATTAGGGGCCTTCAACAGCTGCTCTGCTATTTTGCCCTCAGGCAAGTAAAAAGCTCAAAAGCTTGCCTGCAGGGTATTTAAATAATGCATCTGAAAGGCCATAGCTCCTCATCCTCACTTGTCATGGTCTGCAATTCCCAATGCCCAGGATCCGCACACCTCTGTTCCCGCAACAACACTCCCATCCCGGCTCCCGCAGCAACACTCCCATCCCGGCTCCCGCAGCAACACTCCCATCCCGGCTCCCGCAGCA